TAACGGAGCTTGCAGAAAGGTGCATGATTCAAGTACGAGACAGAGACGTTGTAACCTCAAAGGTGAAAACATTTCAGATGCATGACCTAATAAGAGACCTTTGCTTGTCAAAGGCAAAAGAAGAGAACTTTGTCTTCATTGTAGATGAGTCAAATGCATTCTCGTTGTCCACAATTCGAAAGGTTCGCAGAGTTTCTATGCATGAGATCTTTGAGACAAAGTACATTAGATGTCCAAATCTTCGATCACTTTCCTTCTTTAATACAAGGTATCTAGGAGAGTTATTTTGGTTAGCAACACCTTCGGCCTGTTTAGAAGGTCCATTCAGTCGGCTTAGTTGTTTTTGGGATATTTGGGCTGCATATATTCTTTTTCTAAAAGCTCGAGGATTTTGGGTACATATATCCATCAATTTGAAATTGCTCAGAGTTTTAAACTATGAAGGACAGCAAACAGATGCGTATTCCAAGTTAATCGGTGATATTGGGAATCTCATTCATTTAAGATTCTTGAGTCTAAACAGTCTCAGATTCACAAGTAAAAAATTGCCATCATCTCTGGGAAACTTAAGATGCTTGCAAACCTTGGATTTACGAATTAAAACAATTGCTTTTATCCACGTACCTGACGTGATATGGAGGATGGAACAACTAAGACATCTATATCTCCCTAAGTTTTGTGATGACAAAACAAAGTTGAGGTTGGATACTTTGAGGAACCTTCTCACATTAGTAAACTTCAACACCAAGAAATGTTATCTGAAGGATCTTAGCAACATGACAAAGCTTAGAGAGTTGGAGATTTTTGGGCCCTTCAATATTGAAGATTTTAACGAGGTGGAGTTGGACAAGAATCCACCCATAATCCGAAGTAAATATCTTCACACCTTCGCTATTAACGGTTGGATAGATCCAAGACATTTGGCACACCTCCTCTCAAGCTGCGGTAGCATTTGTAAGTTGATAATAGATGCGGAGATAAGTAAGTTCCCAGAGCACCACTACTTGCCTTCAAATCTCGCCTACATATACTTGGAACGTTGCAAGTTTCAGGAAGATCCAATGCCAACACTAGAGAAGCTTCCTAACTTAAGGTTTCTTGAGTTCAGCTATGATTCTTTCATTGGAAAGCAAATGTCTTGCTCTGCACAAGGTTTTCCTAAACTGGAGTCTTTGAGCCTTTGTGGTCTTAAGGACACGAAGCAGTGGAAGGTGGATAAAGGAGCCATGCCTTGTCTTCAACGATTGGAGATTGAATACTGTCAAACGTTAGAGATGCTTCCAGATGAATTGAGGTTCATTACAACCCTCCAAGAACTGGAGATTAGATCAATGCCAAAGGAATTCCACGATAAAGTGGTGCAAGGAGGACAAGATTCCGACAAAGTCCAAAATATTTGGTCATATTCCAGGACATACAAACGGCGATATACCACTAACTCGGAGGTAATTTCTAAATCTCTGTTATAGGAAATGCTCAATCCTATTATATTTATTCACAGCTATAAGCTTTGCACATGTAGATCCTAATTTGAAGCACATAATTCTTCTGGTAAGATTTAGCATTTGTTCTTATCCTCTGTTTTAACTCCAATTAAGCAGTTATAGATGACGCCTATGAGCTTAGGCAAATTCTCATTCTCGTTAAGATCACTCAATTTTGTAGGTCTGAAATCAAGAATCTGAGTTTGGTTTTTTCCCCACTTTATTTAAAAAAAAAAAACAGGAAGGAAAGAGATTGTGTATTTGGATTTGATCCATGGAAAAGGTAATCGTCTGTTTTCCAACCATTAAACATGATTCATAGCTGTTGCAACTTCAATTTTTCTTCTTAATATCTGAGTTTTTCCTTTCCAAAACAAATATGTATACTTTTTTTATTCTAAGTCTTTAATGTTTTGTTTACAATTGAATATTAAAAAAAATTGACTTTTGTTCCTTTTGATATTTTCTTCTTCTACAGGGAAAGAAGGCATTATATGGTAAATTGTGCTGTCTTTTGTTTAATAATTGGCGTGAGATTAATATATTGTAAGATTGTGTTGTATGGTGTTTTGATATTGTTTTAATTAAAGGAAATATATACTTTAATAATCATGGAAAATTTGTTTTAATTTGTAAAAACTCTTTTAGGTTCTAAAATACATTTCTTTAAATTCTTCATATCTTTTTAAAATGAAGTTGATATTTCTGATGATTATCTATAAAATTATCCTTTTAAAGTTTTAAAAAAAAATATTTGAAAAAGACAATTCCGAATACATGCGTTTAAAACTAAATAAAATAAATATGTTTAAAAATTATTTGCACGAGAGGATTGTTATAGCACAAATATCAATTATTTTAAAATTTCGTTTTATCTTTATTTTTAAAAAAATAATACTAAATTTAAATTATATTCAGAAATATGATCATGCGAATGAATTCAAATTCTGTGACGAGTTTCATGTTATCAAAAATAATTAATGTGATATCATTCTAATGAGTTAGAAGAGCAAATTAAATTTAAAATGTTGTGATTTTTTATTTGGGTAAATTACACCATTCATCATTGAACTTCACTCTTTATCCTATTTCACTTATTGTTCTTTTAATTGTTTTTTTAATTTACTTACTGAACTTTATAAATTGAATTTTTTAGGTCACTCAACGATGGCATGGACTATTTTATTATTTTTTATATGACATTTCATATTTTTATGAATATTTTAATACCAAATATGATTAAAATAAAAATAAATTCAATAATACTAAATTATACCTTTAAATTTTAAATCCAAACCCTAAATTCTCACATTATATCTTAAACCCTAAACCCCAAATTATAATCCCACCCACCCTCACTCTTGATAGGTTTACCCTCCCACCGACAGACAGTGGATCGCTCGTTGACCGAAAATAAATGTTGAATGACAACTTTGATGGAAGAAGAAGAAGGTGTTGTCGTTGAGAGAAGTTGAGAGAAAAAAGGTGTTATCGTAGCTGTTGAGAGAAGAAAGAAGAAGAAAGTGTTGCCATGAGAGAAGAGAAGAAGGTGATGCCGTGAGAGTGTTGATTTTAATTTGGGAATTTAAGGTTTTAGTGTAAAAATTAATATTATTAAATTTATTTTTTACTATAATTCTATATTATATTAAAATGTTAATAAAATAATAATCCATATCATCGTTGAGTAACCAAAAACATTCAATTTATAAAGTTTAGTGAGTAAATTAAAAAAATTAAAAACAAAAAGAGTGAAATAGAAGAAAGAGTAAAGTTCAGTGATGAATGTTGTTATTTACCCATTTTATTTTTACTTTTAAAAAGCAAATACTTTCTATTTTTATTTTTGCAAGTTACATTTATCTATTTAACATTATATATTATTATAATGTCTTAAATATAGAAAAGATGCCCAACCTATACCCGTTTTTCTAGTTTAGTGTCTAACGTTTATTTCGTTTCAGTTTGGTGCCTAACGTTTCGTTCTATTACTCAAAATGGGTCAAGTCATGACGGACCATTAGTTTTCTCCGTTAACTGACACATTTCACAATCTCATAATCTTGAATTTTTTATAAATATTACAAATATTATTATATTTATAAAAAACCCTTATTTCTTTTAAATTACAAAAAGCCTCAAAATCCCAAAAATTCCCAAATCGTAACACTAACCCATCGTCGCTGCCCTTTTCGGTCACGACCACTGCCGCCGACATAGTCTTTGTCATCATCCTAGTTATAAGTCGTCGTAGTTGTCGTTGATTGGCCGTTGAAATTGCGATTTTCATCATAGGGTTCACGAGGTATAAAATATATATTCGTTGTCAGTAGGCCGTTGATTAGTCCTGATTTCATAGGGGTTTTGGTCGCTGGAGGGAGGTAGGGTCGACAGCGAAGGGCGACTGTCGATATGGGTTATTTCAAAATTTATGTATTTTCCTTTTTAAAAATATATAATTTTATTTTTTTAAAATTTTGTATAAAATTTTTAAAATTATCAGATTGTGACACGTGTCACTTAATGAAGAAAACTAACGGTCCATCACAACTTGACTTATTTTGAGTAACAGAATGAAATGTTAGACACCAAACTGAAATAAAATAAACGTTAGGCACTAAACTAGAAAAATGATCATAAGTTAGACACCTTTTTTACATTTAAGCCTATTATAATCCTCACTTTATTTAATAAAGCTAGTCCAAATATTCTTCCTCCGCACACCATCACTAATAAAGTTACAATGATGTTCTCTATTTACATTATGTCTTCAAGTCATTGATTGAAATTAATATCGGTATCAATAAACATTACTAAAATATGATTTTATTATATCTCAATCAACATGTTAACGTCTAGCTCATACAATCGTTAATTTTTTAACGGAAAAGGACAAGTTTCGAACATATGAATACTCGAATGATCATTTTATAACTTTTAATAATTGAGGGACTTAACAAAACAACATCCTACAATTGGGAAACCATTTTATAACTTTTAATTGTGAAAGGAATTAATAAAACAACATCTTATAATCAGGTAACCATTCCTGTAGTTTATCCTTTTTACTAATACACCTCGTACTTGATTCACCGCACCATATTTTTGTGAATCATTTTATTCCTGTAATTATAGCCTATCTTTGATACCTGTTAGGCCGTTAATTGTTTAGTCTTCCCCTAATATTTCTATAAATCTTTCTGTTCCCTTAATTATAGCATTGCCTTTATTTTCTGTTACTCTATATATTTTTTAATTTAAATTGAATTATTGATAATTGCAGTCGCTTTAAAAGAATTGCTTGTTGCACTTGTTTACCCAGAAAGATTTCGCGTCTTCACATCTTGAACTCCATATTAGAAATTAAAGAATTTTTTCTGAGCAGAGTTCACCATTATGGCTTGGGCTGCCGTGTCATCTGCATTGAAAACAATCGGCTAGCTGCTAACTAAAGAAGCAGTTTATCTATGGGGCGTGGAGGACCAAGTTAAACGTTTGGAAACTGAGCTTAAATGGATGCAAAACTTCTTAGACAATGCCGGGAATGGGACGATTCATCTCCAAGCTGCTGAAATAAGAGAAATGGCTCATGATGCTGACAATGTTTTGGAGATTTTTGCTCTTAAGATTGGTTCCAAAAGGAGACCTGGTTTTACAAATGGTATTAAAAGATATGCCTGCATCTTGGAAGATGGATGGATGCTCCACGAAACCAGGTCAAGTATAGAGAAGATAATAGAAAGAAGCAATGACTTGGTACGACGATTGAGTGCATATTGCCGAAAGGAATCATGGGGTGGAGGAGAAGGACCAAGTTCTTCAACTGAATTCCAAGAGCAACGGCGGAAGTTTTCTCACAATGTGGACGATGAAATTGCTGGACGCGGTGATGATATTGAGAAACTGGTCCCAGTTGTTGTCGATGAGAAAAGTGAATGCAGGGATGTTTCCATATGCGGAATGGGTGGTCTGGGGAAGACCACTCTTGCCATTAAAATATATAAACAAAGCAAGATCATGGGTCATTTCACCCGCAGGGAGTGGGTATTTGTCTCTGAACAACCCCAAAAGAGAAGAGTTTGGGATTTTTTATCACTCTAACAACCCGGAAATTTGAAAATAATAATAATAATAATAATAATTAATTGAATTGGGAGGAGTTAATTAAGTAAATTGATGAAATTTAGGAACTAAATTGAAAGTTTTTAAAAACTTGTAACTTGTTTTAGAATTAAAGGAAATTTAGGGACCAAGCCCTGAATTTACCCCAAAATGGTAGGTAAGTTTGGTGTTATATACATGAATCCTCCCAAATTCCTTCCCCCAACACCATCTTCCAACAACAATCCCGATACCGTCCGAATTCCGATCGTTGTTTTGAAACCACCATCGTGTTCATCATCGAGCGAGGAACAAACCCCTTAAATTAATTGAAGCGAAACGTTGCCAAACGTCGGGAATTTCCAGTCAAAGTATTGACCTTTTTTTAGCATAATCGCCGAGAAAATCTTAAATTCACCGTCGATCATTGATCCGTTTACGACACCTCCCGCACCATCGTGTTCCTTATGCTGTTTCGAGTCCGTCGGTGTCATCCTTGGTCCCCGTCAACGGCAGCGCGTGGGGAGGTGAGACGGTCAAAGTTTCCGATTTGTTGAAATCGAGCTTTCCGCCGTTCAAAAATTTGAACCGATCTTTGTAAGTATCTCGAAATCGCTCAAAATAATTTTTAGAAATTTTTCCGTAAATTTTACGCTGCCGGAAGACGTCCCACACGCCCCCACGCATCGCCACTGCGCGTGGGGAAGGTCAAAATGACCCGTTGACCGTTGATCGGGTGCTATTTTAGTAATTAATTCGAAATAGGTGCTATTTTAGTAATTAATTCGAAATGGGTGCTATTTTAGTAATTAATTCGAAATGGGTGTTATTTTAGTAATTATTTTAAAAGGGTGCTATTTCTGAAGAATGATTGACAGTTTGTTGACCTCCTTTGACCAAAACTTTGACCTCCTTTGACCAAAACTTTGACCGGCTTTGACCAAAACTTTGACCGGCTTTGACCAGTTATTAAACGACCGTTAATCTTTTCCGAATATAACTATCCTGACAGTTTTCGACGTCCCGAATCCGTTTTTGGGGTATGTTTCGCCAAATTCAAATATGAAAGTCTCCAAATTGTCAGTCAATCCCATTGACTTTGATTTTGACCAATAATTCAAAATTTCGGAAGGTCGTACTTTATGTTTTTCGACGTCCTGAATTTGATTCCGAAGTTCGTTTTGCCAAATTATGACCCGAAATCTCCGAATTGAGCATGTGAACCCAAATAGGCTTAGTATTTTAGTATTTTGATTATTTATTTGAGATATGGTTAAGGAATTGATTAAGTAAGATATTTTATGAAGGTACTCGTGTTTCACCTGAGAGAGGATCAGTCAGGTCCGGTGTTGTCCGTTCATCATATCAATCCGAACCGCGTAATACAAGAATTACTCGTAGGTTTCCGTATATGATTTAAATAAAGATTAAGATTATTTATATTAGGATTCCAATATGGATTTTTCCGATTCGTAGGATCTAGCGCTGCAGCAGAGCGTGATCGACAAACCCAGTAATAGGCTTCCCTATCTGATTTCTCAGACTGTTATAGGTGTGTTTACTGACAGTGTTATCTTATTGTTTTAAAACTATCATATGTATGGTTTCTGTAATTTCATCATATGATTTTTAAGCATGAACCATTTTCATGTTTTAATAGATTAATATCTATTTCACCTAAATACATACATGTTTATTTCTGTCACTGGGATATTATTGAGGGAAGTATTTCATGCTCCTTTATTGTGTGCTCAGGGTAAGTCCTTACTGGTGTGCAGGTGGGTGTATGGTTCTGGAGAACATACACATTGTAGTGATTGGAGTGACTGGATGGGGAAGTTATTACTGCAGACTCCTTTGTTGTGTGCTCAGGGTAAGTCATTACTGGTGTGCAGGTGGGTGTATGGTTCTGGGGAACCTACACATTGCAGTGATGGAAGTGACTGGCTGGAGACGTTATTACTGCAGGCTCATCGGCTTCGTGCTTAGGGTAAGTCCTTACTGGTGTGCAGGTGGGTGTATGTTTCGGGAAAATATATAAAAAATAGAAACCGGAGTGATTGAGTGAAAATAAAGTTCATATTTTAAAATATGTTTGATAACCGATTTTATTGGAATATTTAATTCGTATGTTTTTATACACTGTTTGGAGAACACTGGGCTTTTTAGCTCATTTTATAGTTTTTAACTTTTTCAGATAACAGCAGACCGTAAGCTAGCAGATTTGGCATCAGGGGAGATCAACTACTTATTTTGTACGAACGTATATCTCTATATGTTTTTCAGTTTGTGTTTGGTGACATGTATTTGCTATCGTTTTGAATATATTTGTATTATTTATATTTCGTTATGTATTATATCTAATGTATTAAAAGTTGTTTTAAAAAAAAAACTCTGAATGAGATATGTGATCACTTAGATTTGGGTCTAACTTATAGACTGGGTCTGAAGGGTTACAATCACAACTTGATTTCCTCGATAAAGAAGATGGTAGACGGAGTGACGAAGAATTATCAAAGAAATTGTTCAATTTCCTGCAGGAAAACAAATGTCTGGTGATACTTGATGATATTTGGAAAACAGAAACTTGGGACATTATAAAACCTGCATTTCCTATTCAAAGGAACAGCAAGACCATGATATTGCTCACCTCTCGAAATGAAGACATGGCTTCAGGTGAAAGTTACCTTCATGTGTTTCAGTGCCTAGACGACGTTGAAAGTTGGAAATTAGTTCGAAAGATTGCATTTCATCAGACAGACTCTTCAGTTAAAATGCTCACTAAATTAATAAAGGCACAAAGATTGATTCGGTTATTGGTTGCCGAAGGTATAGTTCCACCAAAGCAACAAGGAGAAATAACAGAAGATGTGGCTGAAGATTATTTAATGGAGCTTGCAGAAGGTGCATGGTTCAACCACGAAAAAGGGACGTTGCAACCTTAAAGATCAAGACCTTTCAGTTGCATGATCTAACGAGAGATCTCTACTTGTCAAAGGCAAAACAACAGAACTTCATCTCCATTGTGGATGAGTCAAATGTAAACTAGTCGTCTTCAATCCGAGATGTTCGTAGAATCTCTGCACACAAGTTTTTTGAGTCACAGCGCATAGAATGTCCAAATCTCCGGTCACTTTCGTTGTTCGATATATTTTGAGTCACCTGCTCAATCCCCTGAATCGTATTCGGTATATTAGGGACATTGTATATGTTCCTTTTCTAAAAGTTCGGTGGTTTTGGACATATATGTTCACCAATCTCAAATTGCTTAGAGTTCTAAACTATGGAGGAGGAAGTGCACTTCAGAAATGCAGATTAATCGGTGATATAGGCAATCTCATCCATTTAAGATTCTTGAAGCTAAAAACCATTCATTTCAAAGAGTCAAAATTTCTATCACCACTGGGCAACTTAAGATGCTTGCAAACCTTGGATTTAAGAATTCATGGAAACACTCCTGAACCTGTTCATGTACCTGATATTATAGGGAGGATGGAGCAGCTAAGACATCTATATCTCCCTTATGAATGCGATGACAAAACAAAGTTGAAGTTGGGTACTTTGATAAACCTCCTAACATTTGTGAACTTCAACACTGAGAATTGCTATGCAGAAGATCTTATCAACATGAAAAATATCCGAAAGTTGAAGATCCAAGGGCCCTTCAAGATTGAACATTTTAATGTGGAAGACTTTAACATAAATCCACCCATAATTGAAAGAAAATCTTGCAATCCACACTTATCTTCATCAAGTTCTTGTTCTCTTTTTTAGGGTTAATTACTCTATTTATACATGAAGTATATCTAATTCTCAGTTTCATACATAAAAGTAATAGTTTAAGTACTAAACGTGTAGTTTACACATTTTTTTTATTAAAAATATCTGGGCAACGCCGAGCTGAGCGACGACAAACGAAAGGGATGGATGTTGTAGCAGTTGATTTTTCGATGAGTTAAGGTGATCGTCGGTTGTGACTAATACTGATGGTCAATTATAACTTATATAAATTTAAAATTCTAATTCTAAACAAGTTAAATTACTTAAATTAATTATTATTTTTAATAAAAAATTGTAATTTAATTATAATTCTATTAAAAGTATAATTAAATTTTAATAAATGATTAATTTTAAATAAATCCTTATACTTTTTAATATTTATATAATAAGGACAAATTTACTTGTGGTGTATTTCAGTATGTCGTTTTAGTGGTTTATTGTGGTGTGCGACGTGTGTTGTAGACTTATCCTAGTCTTAGATTCATTTTCAAATAAATCAGGAAAATTTTGTTCTAATTCGTAAAAACCCTTTTTAGGTTTTAAAAATACATTTCTTTAAATTCTTCATATTTTTTTAAATGGAGTTGATCATTCTGATGATTATCTATAAAATTATCCTTTTAATTTTTTTTAAAAAGAATTATTTGAAAAAGATAATTTCAAAAACATTAGTTTAAAACTAGATTAAAAAATATATTTAAGAATTATTTGCACGAGAGGATTGTTATAGCACACTTAGAACGCCCAAATATTAGTTCTTGCCTTCAGAAGTCTCTTCTAACCTTGTAAAAGACCTGATGCAATTTAACTTGCCTTCAGAAGTCTCTTTTAACCTTGTAAAGGAAATAACTGATGAAGATATCCAAGAAGCCATTTTCAACCAAAGAAATGACAAAGCTCCTAGTCCAGATGGATACACTCCATATTTTTTCGAAAAATCCTGGTCTGTCGTTGGAGTAGACATAATCAATGCTATTAAATACTTCTTTCAAGAGACTTTCATCCTTCCAGCCTTCAATACTACTACCATTGCTTTAATCCCAAAGGTACCTAATCCTAACAAAGTTAGAGATTTTCGACCTATTTCCTGTTGATCAGTCATATACAAGGCAATCACAAAGATCCTAGTCAATAGGTTGACTACTCTTCTTCCAGGGATAATATCTCTCAATCAGTTAGCTTTCGTAAAAGGAAGAAACATTACTGACAACACCCTCCTTTCTCAAGAACTGGTGAGATGCTATGGAAGAAAATCTATCTCTCCTAGATGTGCCTTGAAAATTGATTTACAAAAGGCCTTTCACTCTCTTCACTGGGGTTTCATTTCTACTATCCTAAAGGCCTTACAACTTCCTAATACTTTCATTGGTTGGATTGAAACTTGCTTCAGTGAAGCACGATACTCCATCTCATTCAATGAAAGTTTAATTGGTTTCTTCAAGGGTGCAAGGGGAATAAGACAAGGTGACCCTCTTTCTCCTATCTTATTTGTTCTTGGTATGAATGTGCTCTCTAGAATCCTCAACATGGCTATAGTGAAAGGCTTGTTCGGATTCCACCATAAATGTAAGAAGATCGACCTTACCCATCTTTCTTTTGCAGTTGACCTTCTAATCTTCTGTAAAGGAAATATTGAATATGTTGCTGGAGTCATTAGTGTATTGGACCATTTCTATGAAATGTCAGGTCTAAAACTTAATGTTGCCAAATGTGAGCTATTTACAACATGAATCACTTCCAGAAATCTAGAGCAATTAATACAATCAATGGGATTCAAACATGGTTACTTGTCAGTGAGATACTTAGGGGTTCCTTTAACCATAAGGAAACTCACAAAAAGGGATTGTGTGGTTCTCATCGAAAAGATCAAATCAAAACTTCATCATTGGTCAGGAAAACACTTGAGCTATTAGGCAGATTAGAACTAATCAGAGTTGTCCTCTTCAGTATAGCAAACTACTGGTGCAGGCAGTTAATTATGCCTCAGACCACGATTAAAAGGATTGAACAACTTTGCTCTAGATTTTTTTGGAAAGGTACTGATAAGACAACCACTGGAGCCAGAGTTAGCTGACAGAAAATTTGCCAACCAAAATCTGAAAGAGGACTAGGGCTAAAAGATGTTAGAACATGGAACAAATCATGTATGATACAACTTATCCGAAACATCCTTGCGGGAGATGGATCATTGTGGGTAGCTTGGATTAAAAGTTATGTTATTAAGGATAAAGATTTTCTGTTGATGGAAGATGTGAAAAATTCTAGCTGGTGTATCAGACGCATACTGAAACAAAAGGCAGTTTCCATCTCAATTTTATCTACAGGAGCAACTAAAACAAAAGATATCTGGAAAAACTACGGGTGAAAGGAGAAAAAGTCTCATGGCACAAATTGATATGGTTTCCTCTTCACATTCCCAAACACAACATGATTGCATGGATGTCACTTATGAATAGGCTCCCAACTAAGGAGAGGCTTCTTAGAATGGGAATAGTTACTGATGGCACTTGTATAATCTGTAACGAAGTTACTGAGACTAGGGACCACCTGTTCAGTGAATGCTCTTTGGCAGTTTCCCTATGGAAGGCCATCCTAAATCTCTCCAGCCTAAGTACTCCAACTTTACCATGGGCGAACATGTTAGACTGGGCCAATGATTCTTAGAAAGGAAAGTCACTCCTCGCTACTATCTTGAAACTTGCTTGTGTGCTTGAATCTATACCATATGGGAGGAAAGAAATAAAGGTTGTACCGAAGAAGCAAAAGATGTGTCGAAGAAATTCTGAATTCAATTAAAGAGATTGTAGGCATTTAATTAAGAGGAATAAATATAAATAGATTATATAGTATCAATATTTACCTTTGTAATCGTTGGGGTGTTGACCACCCATCTCTGTTGTAAGTAGGTTGTCCTTAACCCATTAATAGGATTTTGTAATAGCAAAACACTGCAATATTGGGTAATAAAATTAAAATTATCCAAAAAAATGTTCTCTAGTCAAATGACAATTTGTTTAACTTGCCCTTTTTACTAATACACCTCGTACATGATTCACGGCACCATATTTTTGTGAATCCAGCTCACCAAGTTAATTGTTTAGTTTTCCCCTAATTTTCTGTAACACCCCAATTTAGGGGCTAAATTTTAAGAATTTTAAAGTGGTGAATTTAATTGGTATTTTGAAAGAAACGATGGATTAAATTGTAAAATTTCAAATTTGGTATACCGTTTTAAGAAGTACAAGAAGTTCAGTGACTAAACTCATGATTTGACCATTTTTCTTTTAGGATGAATTATAACCCCCATTCCCGTATGTTTTTCTGCAGAAAAAATCAGTTTCTCTCCTCCAGTCAACTCACTTTCAACTCCGATCTACTTGTTGTCTGACCTTCGATTGACGAACCGAAACCACCATCGTGTTCGTTGTCGACCAAGGAACAAAACCCCTCAAACTTTTTGTCGTGAATCGTCGCCGTTCGTCGTTAATTTCAGTCGGAAATATCATCGGTAATAACTCAATTTTAGTTGGTTTTTCTTCGATTCACGATGTTCCGGCCGTCCTTTTACGACACCTCCCACACCATCGTGTTCCTTGCATCGTTCCGAGTCCACTGATGTTCTCCGTCGTCGCCGGCGCGTGGAGGGGTGAGACCGTCAAAGTTTTCGATGTTTCGAAATCGAGCTCTCTGCCGTTCAAAATTGTGAACCGAGCTTGGTGAGTGTCTCAAAATGCCTTAAAATATTTTTTATGAATTTTTCTGGGAATTTTCCGACACCAAAGCACTATTCACGCACCGCACGTGCCATCCCCCAAGAGTGGGCATTGTCTGGGTGATAATTTTGTAATTAATTTCTGTTTGGATGCTATTTGTGTAAAATTCAGGTGTTAGTTTGGTAAATATTTATAGAATGTTGCTAATTTGGCAATTAATTTCTGTTAGGGTGATATTTGTGTAAAATGACCGACTGTTGACCGTTGACCGGCGTTGACCATTGTTGACCAGAACTTTGACCAGCTTTGACCGGGTATTAAACGACCTTTGACTTCGACCGAGTATACCTATCCTGATGTTTTTCGACGTTCCGAATCCGATTCCGCAGTCTGTTTTTCAAAATTCAGATCCGAAGACCTCGAAATTTCCAATCAAACCCGTTGACTTTGAT